GTGCCCAGCACAGGGGCACGCTCCCTGCCCTGCTCCTGCTGGCCACACCACTCCTCATCCAAGCCAGGATGCCGCTGGCCCTCTTGGCCACCTGGGCACACTCCTGGCTCATATTCATGAGTCAGTAATGACTGGAAGACCACCACAGCTCACACTTGCAGGCCAAAGGATGCCACTTTAAAAGCATTTTTAGACAAATTGTTTCTTTACAACACTACTGGTTAAATCTGTTTGAGCTATTATACCTACTTAAAAATGTGTAAATGCAAGAAAGACTTCAGAATACTTTGACCTCAGAAATGCATGTTAAAATTTAACTTCATAAAATGACTTCAAGTAACCCATGGCCAGAAACCATCATGAAATGGTTTTACGGCAGAAGTTAAAATTAGTTTCTGAGCAGAAACACAAGTCTAACAAGTGACAAAAATTAATCGCAGAAAAAGTTGTACATATGAATTGAAATCTTTAATTCAAAAAGGGCTATGGAAAGCACAGTATAATTCACATGTAAGTTATTGGAATAGATAATGGAGTCACAGTAATACTCAATGCTTAACATAGCAAGGTTAGGACTTTATGTTGCTTTCAGATCTTCCTAAGCTGATGCAATTTTCCAAGCAGTGTCAGCACGAGAAGCTCCGCTTGTCAGAAAAATGAAAAGCAGTTTATAAACAAGGAAGATATTTGGATCATTCAGGTATTTGCAAGAACTATATTTCACACGTTGTAAAAATAGCTCTCAGAGTTCAGGAGATATGAAAATAATGAAAATGGAAACTTACTCAACAAATGGGGACACAGTCAACTTTACATCCACCATTAATTGGTACCTATCATGAAAATCAGGACAGACTAATCGTCTCTTTCTGTCCATGAAAGAAAACAACCAGAACCTCCTTACTAAAAGTAAAATTAAGAGGCAGCATTCTGAACATCATGCGCTTTTTGTCCCCTCTAAATAAACACGACAAAGCGCAGGTTCTGATGTTTTATTAAACTGTATGAGACTTTAGTTGGAAGAACCAGTTAAAAAATTATTTTCTAGACTAGTATGCATTTTGTCCTGCAACATGCTGAATATTTTGCAGCTTCTAATGGAGAAATAGATGTCTGACACCTTATAAGCACAAACTTGAGTACAGATTTCTAGAAAAATGATGTTCTTTAGCTTGATAGTAGACAGTATTAGCTCCAGGAAAGTCAGTTAAGACCACTGAACAATATCAAGCCGGCTCTAAACTGAGAGGGCCTGGAGACACCGTGACAAAACAGCTCTGCTCAGGGGTGTCCTCTTTGATGTGGAAGAGCACGAGGCAAACATCTAAGCCATCATCATGGACAGCTAACTGAATACACAATGCAATGCCTTCTCCTCACCCTCAGCTCACTGTCAGATTGCTGTGCTGGCGCTGAAAAGCCTCCGTGAACGCTCTGCTTACAGCTCCAGAAGAAAGCCAACTTGACTAGACAGACATTTTGCTAAATTAAAATTGTAATTTACATCATGAAATTATTTTAGAAGTGTGTTGTCAACTATTTTGAAGTTACTTTTGCATTTTCTTCACCACGTCGCTCTAGGAAAAACTCTTCTGTTAATAGATTTTTCCCTGTTAACTTTAATAAGGATAATCTTTTGCAGCAGGCAATGCACTTGCCCAGACACCTTGTACGGAAACAGTAATGGTGTTAACCGTAACACAGAGCTGTTTAGTCTTTCCAAAAAGCACAGTGAAAGGTGTCAACCAGTTTGTAACCCCAGCCACCTTCTCTTAAGTTGATTAAAGGGACACTCAGCAGGCCTGAATGCTAGGCTCTGGTACATACAGCATGTATTAAGTGACTGTTACTTTTGGCTGACAGCACCGTATTCTGACTCCATTACTATTGTAGCAACACTACAAAAAGCAGCTCCTGGCACAAGCAACAAGCAGGCTTTGGCCCTTTATTTAGTAAAATGGCCAGAAGCACAGCACTGATGCTTCCTTCACTCTTTTTCTCCAGTCCCAAATACACACAGTATAAGCTATGAAAAAGATTGTTAACCACGCACATTCCCGTTTTAAGAAAACCGCTCATCTCCATACATTACACAAGATGCCCCAGGTAGACTCGTCATGGTCTGCTTCAAGAAACAAGCCCTGCTCCCCACCAAACCAGACCTATTCCACACCCATACTGACCAGGGCTACCCCCTCTCCAGCACCAATACCACGCAGTATTTACACCAATTCCCAACTCATTTCTAAGCCCTCTGCCTTCCAGAGGCTTGGCTTGCCCACAGGCCTCATCACACATGGTCCCTCCATCCCACCCGAGAGGTTTTCTGGCGATGCCCCAGCAGACACCGTCCTGCACACAGCTGCCCACTCAGCATCACCAGTCCTCAGCATCCTCAGAGGCAGCTGGGAAGACTGAATCACAAATCCCTCTCCCTGGAGCCCTGAATCCTCTCTGCCATCCCAAAAGAGACATTAAGCCTTTAGTTAATATTTTTTACAAGTATTTTCTTGCAACAGAGTGCAGATCTGTCCCACAGCTGTATTGGGTCAGGCTAAGATGGAGTTAGTTTTCCTCCTGGCAGCCCTCAAGTGCTGTGCTTTCTGTTGGCATGCAGAAAGGTGCTGATAACCCGCTGGTGTTTTGGCTACTGCTGAGCAACGCTCACACAGCATCAAGGCTGTGTCTCCAACATTCCCCCCACCACCAGAGGACTGGGAAAGGGGCAAGATCTTGGGAGGGGACATAGCCAAGACCCCTGACCCAAACCAACCAAAGGGATATTCCATACCATATGACATCAGCTCAGATATAAAAGCTAAGGGAAGGGGGAGGAAGGGTGGGCATTAATTTTTTATGACGTTTTGTCATCCGGAGCAATGGCTATGCATACTGAAGCCCTGCTTCCCAGGAAGTGGCTGGACATCACCTGGTGATGGGAAGTAGAGAATAAAATCTTCATAGAATCATAGAATGTTTTGGGTTGGAAGGGACCCCTAGAGGTCATCTAGTCCAACCCCCTCACAGGAGCAGGGACACCGCTAACTAGATCAGGCTGCTCAGAGCCCCATCCAACCTGGCCTTGGTTTGCTTTTGCTACCACACATGGCCTTTGCTTTTGGTTTTTATTAAACTGCCTTTATCTTGACCCATGAGGTTTTTTTCTTTTCCATCTCATTTTCTCCCCGCCCATCCTGCGGGGAGCAAGAGCACGGCTTTGGTGGGTACCTGGTGTCCAGCCAAGTTCAACCCAACACAACAGCCCCACACAGGAGCTTGCACAGCCTAATACTGAAGGCATGCGCTGTGTGCAGGCCACTGGAGGTAGGCACCCTGTGCGGAACCAGAAAGGACAACGTGAAGGAACTTGAGAGCACGAGACCCTGCCAGCTCAGCACAGAAGGGCCAGGCCAGCTAAGAAAGGACACAGGACCACGTTGCTCTGCCTGGGTTGCCCGTTGCTATGATCACTGCCTCCAGACTAACTGTGGAAGCGCTGCCAGATTAAAGGACACCTGGGGAGAAAACTCACCACGGTGCAACTCAGAAGGGACTTCAGGAACCACCTAAGCAACAGCTTAGACTGGGAGCTGTTCCCTAGAAGGAAACAACAGGAGCCAAACTGATAGCACAAACACTAGCGCTGCCTTTGTTCCAAAGTACATGTATACGGTCACTGTAAAGAATGTAATTGGAAGGCACATTTCTAAGAGATTTACTCTAAGATATATTTAATTTGATTAGCTAGTATTAGAAGAACAGATTTAAATCCTTTCCACACTGACAAAAGATTTCAAGCTCCTGCTGAGGACTATGCCTACTAAACCCGTGAGAAAGCTCAAGTCTGGTACTTGTTCCACACCAAAGAAAAGCTACCAACTGCAAAATGGTTCAGTATTTCTATTCAAACATTTGGTAAGATTTTCTGATTGCACAGATAAAAACAATTCAGTTATTCAAAAAAGTGAATCATGTGTACATGAGTACACTTCTCTCAGTTCCCACCAGCTTCAGCTGAAACAAGGGTAACCTTGATTCCCCCCCCCCAAATGTTAGCAGCTTTTCTATTAACAAGGCAGAATTAAACACCACAGTATATTGAAATGCTAATCAATTTCTTTTACTAAAAATATTTTCACAATATAAGAAACTGGAAGGCTGTTTGGAAAAAAAAGTGCAAGGAAAACTACACCCTAGCACTCATCCATAGTATTTTGTGTGCCTGAGTGAGAAGGAATGCAAACTATACTGCACTTGGTCCACATGGCCATGGTTTTCCATTACATCCATTTCAATTTAATAACAATTTCTGCTAAAGGGAAGGTCCTGCTCCTTCCCTCAACTCTCATTTCTCTCCTGAGCTCTACTCAGGCCCAGGATGAGTTGTATCAGCCTCCTGGTTCAACACAAGCTCACCCACAGAACACCTTCCAGCAGGTTACGGCACAGCTCCAACTTACCTCCACGCTGCGTAACTGCTACCGCAGACCCCAAGGCAGGGGACAGGAGCACATGGCAGGGGTAGAGGGACAGGTGAGGGAACAGGATTACCATTTTCCAAGGTAATCAGACACTTCACAGCTGACTAACCAAAGATACGAGATACGTTTAAACATACTGAGGTGAAAAGCAATAATCCAGACCATGGTTTTCTCTGCTTTGCCTTAACTCTACTATCAGAAAAAGAAATTTTATAGTTTTCTCATGCAACTGTCAGCACTCCTTTGCTACCTGTTCCTTTCAAATACAGCTCTGAAGACCCTTTTTCTCCCAGATTTGGTCCATCTGCTGTCTGAAGAGCTACCCATTTCATGCCACCTTCATACATCTTCCCACTTTTAGCCCTCCAGTACCTCTTCACCCTATGCCCATTAATAATGTTAATGCTCTATTCCCCATCTGCAACTTCAAAACAATATAGACAAAGGGTTGCTCATGGTGGAATGAGTCAGGCTACAGAACAAAAACAGACAAAAAACCGTGTATCAACATCTCCTTACCTTCTGTGCTTTATCCTTCTGAAATACAAAGACCGGTGGAGCAATGGCAGGTTTTTCTGTAAAGAGAGAAATCATTGTTTTTCCAACCACATTCAATACTGACTAATATCAAAACGTTATGTTCTATGATGCTTTTACCAACAATGAATCCCTAAAGCAGTTAAATCTCAGTTACGCAAATTGTTTCTACTGGTTCCTGGTGACATGTGATCATAAGAACTTGATCTTCAGACGGAAAAAAAAAGTATTTTAAGAATAACAGTACAACTGATACCTGAAAGCTATTTGCCTTTTCCCTCCGGATCCATTTCAAACCAGTACTTTTACCATACATAGGTACATCAGGAGGAAGAGGCCCTTTGCTGCAGTTCCTTTTTGAACACATGTAAGTTTTGCAGGCAGCAGCTCTTCCTTCCCCATAGTAATGCATTAATGCACAGGGAGGTTTGCTGTACACACCCACACACCCCTTTCTTAAAGGTCACCTAACTCGTGACACGATTATATTTGTATTTCATCATCATTAAAACCTTCAGAAAGGTCCTAAATCTTCAACATTTGGAGGTCTACAATTGAAGCCAAAGATTCCATGCACGTTATTACAGAGGAACCACTCTCGTCTGCATAATTTAAGAGTATGTCTGCTTTCCACTTGAAATTCTGATTCAAATATTAGGAGGACGTTTTTTTCTAAATAAGCACATCATCAAATCATTGAACTGTTTAGGTTGGAAAAGCCCTTTAAGATCAAGTCCAACCATTACCCTAACCCTGCCATCCCACCACTAAACCATGTCCCAACCTTTAGTCTTCAAGAACAGAACGAATTTCTAGAATGAGTGTGTTTTCCATCATCCTTAATGACCTCAAAACTACCTCAATGTCCTTAATGACCACAAAAAAAAAAGGGGGTTAGGGGGCAGATAAAGCAGAAGTGAGCTTTCCTGAGAGTTTAACAAACTGATACACCTTGTGCATGAGTTATAATTAAAGAGAAACTGCACATACACTATGCGATCAGCAACCCTCCTGTACGTCTGTAGGGCTGAAGATGAGCGCAATGTTGAAGTCTGTCTGCAGAGCGAGACTGCTGTGAAACACCACGATTTGGGGGAGGGCTGTACTTTGGCTAGTTTGTTTTCAAAAGTTCCACCTTTGCAATTATTCAATCTTACAAACATGACTAGACATCTGAGAAAATTAAAATTGTTAAAACTTTTAGAACTTGAAAGGCTACCATAAAAAAAATATAAAGCCATCAAGAAGAATTACCTTGCGCCTTAAAACAACCCCAACAGTATTCCAAAAAAAAAAAACAACCCAACAGTATCACAAAATGCTCCATAAATCAGTCACAGCATCACTAAAGCACTCGGGTCAGCAGATAAGGAAAAGGGGATGAGATTGTCTGTTTGGGAAGCTCTGCCTATTAGATCAGTTTAGCTGAAAAAGTGAAACTCTACTTGACAACACATCAAAATTATGAAAGTTATTCCAAGAACTCTGTGCATTTGTTTGTAAGGGTGGAAAAGCCTCTTTCCACTCTTCTGTGGGTCTAACTCATAGAATCATAGAATGGTTTGGGTTAGAAGGGACCCCTAGAGATCATCTAGTCCAACCCCACAACGCCCCCTCAGAGGGATAACCCAGTAAAAACACCACAAGACTGACTTTGCAAGACTGGCGTAACTTGTTCTACAGAAGGTAAAACTAATCATGAAATAAAGCTCCTTACTACTGCATTTTGCCTGCTCTTTTATCTTTTTTTTTTAAGTTCTTCTACCCATCCAACACTGCTGAATCTTAAAAATGTTTGTTAATGAGAGCAAGGCAGACAATCTATTTAAAAAATGAAAAATCATCTACTAACGAAGGTCATCAGCAAAGACTTAACTGCTATGCCTGTCCCCAAACACTTCGTTGAAACAAGACAGGGATCCCCTTTGATTCCCTTGGACTGGGTATAACCTGCCCACGGGAGGCTCCACTCAGGTAAGGTCCAAGCTTTTAACCCCTTACTTCAACGTGATGTTCGTTTCTTTATATCACGTTTGGTAAACTTTAGTATTCATCAATGCTATAATTACAACAAGTAGCACGCATTCTACCAGACTACTTGGCCAAGACTACCGAACCAGTCAATAAAATGCTGTATTAGTGGTTTTCCCTATTGAAGATCTGCCCAAAAGTGGGACTTGATTGCGTAATGCACAACATACAAGAGACTCCTGTACCAAATTCCACAGATACCAAAGAGGACTGAACAGAAAAGAACTACTTGTTTATTTAGTGCTTAATAAGGGATTGAAGTATTGAGAGAAAAGAAAGCAAACAATAAATAAAAGCAGATCCAACGACAGTGCAAAGTGCAGAAGAAACATGGGATGGCTGGCAAAATACCCAAATAGGGAGCCAAAGAAGGTTATGCAAAGGAATGGGACAAAATAGGAGCTTGAGTCTGGTGATGGAAAACTGAGTACTTGGGAAAAAAAAAGAACAGGGATGCCAGGAACAGCAGAAAGTTCACTGCGAAGAAAAAATTATTGGATGGAAAAAACAAAGAAAAAAAAGAGTGAAAAAAAATCAAGTATTTGAGATTGTGTCCAGCTATGGCAAATGAAACTGGGAAAAGAAGCTCGTAAAACAAGCTATGACCAGTCCTGTTAGTCAAGGTGGAAAAGATAACACTGGTGCAATATCTGAGAGTTTCTATCCGCTGGAGGAACACAGTCCTCCAATATCCCTTTCCTTGGGATCCAGGAATCTCACTACTACTCTTGCTGGCTGTCAGACCAACCAACGTGATGGCATCCGGCAGGAACGATGAGAGACAGCAGACACTGACGGCTACCAACTATACCAGTGCTTGGTCAGGCATGTTCCTTACAGGCAAAACTTGTTCATCGTGCCCTTTCTAAAGCCTGCAACAGGACCACAATGCTGGAAACACTGCCCTAACTCTAGCCCAAAGCAAGAAGGGATCACTAGATTGTCTAATCTAACCACCGCCATTAAACACTGTGTATTTTTCTGAGCCTTATTGGTCTGGGGAAACATTTTCATCAAATGCATTAATTATTGAAGACATCAAGAGCAAAGAATTATTGCCCTCGACCACCCATTACCTCACTTGGTAAAAAACTCCAGTGCCATACTTCTCATTCAAATGTCTGGCTTTGGCTTTAGGTTCTGATTCCTAGTTATGTTTTTTGAATGCATTTATGTACTAGACAAAGAGCTCTCTAGTATTTAATGTTTTTCCTAAGAAAGCACTTAACACAAACCACGTTTTCCTATCAACTGAAGAATCACTACAACAGGTTTTATTTTTGTAGAACAGCAATGTGTATGTCAAGTAGTTGTTGGGTTTTCCCCCTACATGATGAGCCTCGTAGGTTATTAATTGCTGCTCCAAAATGAGGATGACACTGTCATTTGTAGCAGCCAACATCAGAGGTGGACAGTCACTATTCTCACTTAGCAAGCATGCTCCCATTCCACCAAGGTGTCGGAAGGATGTTCTACAGTAACATGGACCTGTCAGGTCCACAGAACTGTCACCAAGTTAAAGGGAAAATAAAGCAGGATAAAGGAAGGAAAAAATAAACCCTAACCTTCAAACTGCAGGTACAATACAGGTAGAAGAACATGAAATCTTCTCCTTCACCTGAGAGATGAATAGACACGGCACATAGTTCTTAATTGTGGAACAGACTTGGTTTTTCTCCAGACAAGCAGATAGAAACAAGGCAAAACAAGGGGCTGGAGATGCAGAAACAATGTCCATTTTCTAACTGAGTCGGTCTCAGTAGAGGTGTTCTGAGAAAGCCCGAGCACGTAAGAAGGAACTGGCTGGATGGTCGGGTCCAGGGGGGAGGGGGCAACGGCACAATGTGGGG